CCCCCCCCTCCGAGTAAACGTCAACCGTGACACCATTAAGGGTTGAAAATTTTCTAGAAAAACCATATTTTCGAGTCTGAAATGCCCATTACTGTTTTGGCGCAAAAAATGCCAAAAAAACTGGCACATAAGTGCAGGACAGGACGGTTCCTTTCTTTTATAGAGGGTTACATAGGCCTACCTTGCCCGGATTGCCGATCGCAACGCGGAATTTATCTCTCTTTCCCACCTCCGCTCTTTAGGAGGGAGCCTGGGCAATATGTACTAGAGCCGACAGGCCAACCATGTGGTCGTTGTTTTGTCTTCCATCGTTGACATAAGACGGGTAATTTTAAATGATAAATGATTGCCGCCATTTTTCCTTTTATGCCCCAGGCAAGCACTTTTAATGCTCCACAAGAACGGAAAACGATGACATCACAAAACAGTCGCGTTGATCGAGGCTAGGGCTTCCAGGAGGAAAATGTGTACATTACTTAGACTGAATATTGCGAGTTTTAAAAACCCAAATCAGGATTGATTAGGGAGGGTTTTTTCCCCTACATCAATAGAAGTATAGCGCCACTTAAAGTTTCACCGAAGCTTTAAATGCTTTAAATAATCTTCCGGCCTCTTGGTCTGCAGGTGTACACCATCTCTGCTGGGCTTAACAGAATGTATTAATCAAGATTGAAACACTCCAAGGCGATACCCTTTTTCGTTGGTTGCTGTAGATTAGACTTGAAGCAAGCTGGATTGCTCAAGTTGAACTGAACGATATCTGACATGCCATTAAAATGAATTTTCTATTTTAATTTCTACCAAGAAACATCTGTTTCGCCTTGCTGACTGTTTACTTAATTGAATACGTAGTAAATTAAAATGCACTGAGATAGACATATTTATTTCCACTGCCTTAACAACGCGAAACACAAGGTACGGTAATTGACTTTGGGAGCCGTTTGACCGAGTGGTAACAGAGAAGCTCAACTTTCCAAGGTATTTCCTCGCATTTCCTGCATGTGTATAACATAATTAGAGCTATTTTGTTGACTGAATCTTTTGAAACCTTCTCATTTTGCTTTTTAAAAAAATTGAAGCTGTTTAACATTGGGAAACAAAAATGAAATGGAATTTTACCAACAACAGGCAGATACCTACTTTAGTGGACTGCGCGAGACTAAAGAATGAACGACACTTGCATGAGGGTGTGAATGGGAGCACCGGAATCTTAGTTAAACTGTTGGCGATTTCTCAGCTATCGGATAACATTTTAACTCATTTTGCAGATATTAGATCAGACCTATCAGTTATAAACACGCCATTTATCGATCGGCTGCTAACAGCTAAAATTTTGACCAATTTGCAGCTATCAGTTATACCCCATCCAGACCCACATGTATTAATTCGCTCTACAAAACACCCACCTTTGCTATATGCAGGCACATCTACAATGCATGTACAATCAGTTACGAATTAACCATGGGTCATTCTTCGGAGGGAGAACACTAATGCACGAAGCTAACAGCTGCATGAAAAGCCTGTTCAGAACCTGCCCGATCTTGCTTTCAGACCGTAACTGGCACTTGAGCTGATCATTGCAAGCATGGCCGATGAAGACAGGGGTAACTAGTCAGAAACATTGATCAGCTCTCAAACGAAGAAACTAGCTGGCTTGCGGTGGCTAAGTGAACTAAATTTTTGCGGGAAGTTAAAATGCAGTCATTATGAATTTTCGAGTGTAAATTTAGCATCATGCGATAAAAATGTAACGTTGCTAGCTTAACAACAATAAACGAAAAGGGAAGCATTTAGGTATAGGATTAGAACCAGTATAGTCTATTAGAGAATTCAGTTTTTGCTAATTCTACATAGAAAAATACAATCTTTTTAACAACTCTGAGACAGGTGCAAACGGATTTCCGTTATATGCGCAGTTTAAAGTGTTTTTCTGAAAGATAATGATGAAAAACGTCCACAGTATCTCTAATATCCGTATATCATGTACGGCATCTACGGCGCTAAGCGGTAATCAAGTTTCGTTATCTAAACAGGGTTCCACCCAAAGCTCATGATGGAAATATTCTTCAACATTCTGTCCGGGATAATGATTATGGTGAGTTTGTTGTCACTTTTAATAATCATAATGGCAAGTCGCAACATGAGCGATGGAACTAGCAAATCAACGAGATTAAATTTTCTCCGCTCAGTTAACAATTATTCCGTGAGCCATCGTTGGATACGTGAGGTGTGTAGAAGAGGCGCGCAGCACCGAGTGTGTTATAATCATCTTGTATCATGGCCAGCAAGGGTGAATGGATTAATATAATTGCGTTATCAAATTCTTCAATCGATTGGATGATGTGGACAATTCAGTGAGATCAAAATAACAAATGACAGGAAAAGGCGGCAAGCATTGTTGCCCAGCGTTCACTCTTTCAGATGAATTACTGAAGAATGTCAGGAAAGCGAGCGAGAGAGTGTCTTATCCTGAAATATTCATTGCACGTCGTCTGTATTGTATGCTGGAAAATTGTACAAACGACTCGAGAAGGGGTTGCGGGATGATCGGAAGTAAAAACGTTGCTGAAATTTAAACAATTTAAGACGAAATCCGATAGAAAATCGAGTAAGTTCAGTTTTTTGGACAAAAACCTTGTATCAGGATAATTTTAGGTATTTTACAGTCCTTTTTACATTTTCTTAAAGCTAAAGATATAAATAGTTGCCTGAAAGAATACCGAAAACAATCTCTTATGGGAACTCGAGAATATTTCATTTCACCAGTACTTTCAGGTATTTCATATGAACTTAAACATTTGTTTTCGACATTAAGTGATGTTAGAAATGGTTTATTTTAAGAAGATGTTTAAAACAGTTGCACAGAAGTTTGCGAAACGATGTAAATAATCACGGTACAAAGTTTTTGTCCACTTGTCCCTCGTCTTTCTGAATCATTTTCGTATTCAGATGATATTCTTTACATACATACTTTATTGGCTCGTCCCCAGGGGGCTTTTCAGAGTCAATGTTACATTACAAAATTTAAAAAACGCAGAAGGCCAAACTCATGACCATGATAACGTAAAAAGAAAACAAATGTTGAATAAAAATGAAATAAAACTGTCATTAAGAAGCTTTCGCCTGAGTAGGCGCTTAAAATCCATTACGGATGGACTAAGTTTGAGTGCAGGCTGCAACTCATTCCACAGAGAGGTCGCTCTATATTAAAAAGTCCTTTGACCGCTAGCAGTGAGGAAGAGTATACCGTCTTGGCCATTTCCGTAGATTTCTACATATTTTCTGCGTCAACACCGGCCAAAACTACCTACATTTTCCGTATTTCGTAGTCGGAAATGCGATCGAACGGAAAAACCTTTGTAGCTAATGTGACCGCGTTCATCCTTACGGGATGAACACTTTTAGGTTTCTGTTGACTTTCACCAAGGGATTATCAAGGTAAGAGAGTGAATCCGCCATGTAGGTCTTATACCCATGGTACCCAGTTCATTCGCGGATGTTATTCACGCGTTGCGTGGATGTTTTCGTGAAGGATCTCTTTATGTTTCAATTCGTTTCGTTTGAAAGCGAAGAAAACCCTCCAACTCTGGGGGAATGTCTTCTTTGATATTTTAATTACAAGCAAAGGAGCTTCGGCTCTCGCTATGTTTTAATACATTTCGAAACTTTTTAAAATAGGAGTTTAAATAAGAGACAGATGTCCCCTGCACAAACAATAACAACTGAATGAACGTCAGAGAAATGAATAAAAACACTAGTGCAAAGCAAACAAACGTCAAACGCGCTAGGCAACCGAACAAACAGATGGTCGAAAATGCAGACAGACGCTCGCCGCCCAAGGAGCAAGATGCAGTTTAAGCA